CAGTGAAGAAGCGAATATTCATCAAGGTTCCATTTCAAGGGAGGGACCAAGCGAACTTCTAAGGAGGCGCCTGAGTCAGGCTGCAGCAACCACCTTCCCAACAGCCGACGCCCATGTACTGTTCTTAACTACCATTTTCCTATGCGGTGAGATAAAGGGCAAACTGCCAGCCCAGACCACATCTGTGTGCATATATTCATTAACGTGCTCCTTTGGGGCAGCATATATTGGTCGCACGAGCCGCTGTTTATCCAAATGAGTACAACAACACATTCCAGCATGTGTAGGACAGGGCCAACTAAACGGTATAAACAGTTTCATTCTAGCGCACTTCTTATGCTCAGACCATCGCTTGGATGCCAAAAGGACCTTCCTAGTGAACTACAGGGTGCATTCAAGCTATTCAAATTTTTTGGACAGCGTATGTTGGCTATGGCAGAAGTGGCCGCCATCAGGCCTCCTTGACAGGTCCTGTGCACCAAAAAGAACTTCTTCGTTGCGCCGCAGTTACCATGGCCAAAAGCCGCTAATCCAATATCCAGCAGCTTATCACCTCACTCGACTACCAGTCCTCTCTAACGCTGATCAGATTTTGACTCCGATTCTACCTACCTTCCACCTATCCTGACAACCGTACTTTTGTCCTACCAGCCCCCATGGTTTATTTACGTAAGTACCAAACGTATCTTCGCCAATTTATTTTCTGAAATTTTCAGTGGAAACTTTCGCAAATTTAAAACTTACTCCGTTAAAGTCCACACATCCACAACGGACAGGTGCGATTGTGTGATTATATTTCTGTGAAAATATTTCAAGTATTTGTTGACATTCAATTTTGGCCAAGAATTCTTTCCTGCCAGAATTCTTTTAATGTAGTTCACCGTTCCTGTGTTCACGATCACCATAATTATTCCCGTCCTTTTGTTTAAGCACGTCTTGGCCTCGAGACATTTTTACTGTCTACAGTATTGGAAATTTCTTTTTTTCATTTGTTGCGCAATAAGTAACGATTATGTATAACGGAGAATATCTGGTTTCTAAATCTGACCGCATTTTTTTCTGCCATAATAAATCTAATTTTAATACCGATAGAATAAATATAGTAGCTTAAAAGAGACTTTTACCTGAAAAGGTCTTGTGACTAGGCGAATGTCTTCCGTCATCTATCATTTGATCTTGCGTGGTAGGACACCCCACATTCTAATTTGCATACTACAGTAAACCGCTCCCATGCAACCGTTAGCTCATGGTACAGATAACTTCTGACATTCCAGAGGGCTTAGGATCGTCCGCATTGGGTGGTCTTACTGGTAACCAAGGCTATCGTCCAGAGTATAGTACCGATATGATAGGTATATTATCTTCAAAAAGCCACATGACGAGAAATGGTCTTATGACCAGCTGGCCAGTGTCCACCCTCATCCATCATTTGATCTGGTGAGGGAGGACACGCCGCATTCTAAATTGCATACTGCAGAAGACAGTTCTCATGCCACATTTAGCCGGTAGATCAGATCGTTTTTGAACGACCAGATGGCCTATATTCGTCCGCCTTGGGTGGTCGTACTGGTAACTGAAGTCCGCCTATTAAAGTTCGTTCCCGCTCGACGGTGGCTTTCTGTGTCTACATTCCTATCACCCGAAATGCACATGAAGGAACGAAAAAAACTTTGCGTGTAGGGGGTCAAATGACAAGGTAGTATCCGGCAGCAAATGTTTATCGGTAATACTCGAACACCGGGCTATGCTCCGTCTTTTGTTCTAAGAAAAGCTTATTTATGTCATGTTTTTTAGGTTTCAGTATGCCCATTTTTTTCATTTACCTTATCTACCATTACGCCTTTGGCAGGTATTACAGCTGGGGTTAGCCCTTGATTCTGCCGCTGCGTTCAATTCTGTTACTCATTATGGCGAAAAATGGCACTATATGTCGTACCACCGAACAGCATCGTCTTGATCAAGGCGAGTTCTGGTCCATAACAGCCTAGTGGAATTTTTTACTTTTCGCTATGGCGTACCGCAAGAATGCGTCCTATAAATCATTCTATTAAAATATCCCCGTAACTGAATTTTCGGGAAGACCTTATACGAGAAGAATGGTGTTCAGTTTGGACCTTGACCGCCAGCTGACTAAGCTACGGATATTGACTTACCAGATGTAAGCTTTGGCGATCAACAGTCTATGGTTTCGTGGGTGAACGAGGTCGGTAAATTGGTTGGCTTGTCTATTAATGCGAAGGAGAATAAAGTGTCTTCAGGCTGCATCCCTGCTCAAAAGAAGAAACGCCTTGAGATTAGTGGTTTTGAACTTGAATTGGCGAATCGTAAATTGATCCGTTGCCCAAAAAACCTCTAGCAGTTTTTGTTATTAAAATTCCTTTTATTTATTGAGAATTGCTTTTTGTATAATCCTCTCATATAAATTTTAATTTCTTGGTCCCCGACGAATTGCACATATTTCGCTATTAGTCAGCGGTGTGGTCCTAATCTTAAATCCTCTATCATCACTTTTTTTCGTCTTCCAAGATTCTCTTGCTGCTGATGACTGAGGAGGGTGGAGGGTGGAGGTATATAACCTACAATTTGCGCTGGCAATTTCCCCTCTGCCGACCAATCGGAGAATCGCAACTTTTTGTGTCTCTAGGCCACTTTTTAGCAGGGACGTCAGCAAATCTGACAGGGTACAAAACGCCTCCCCCTCCTCCCAGATATCGATTTGTGTAAAGCTGGTTGAGCTGTCCAAGTGCATTTCTTAGCATGACTGACTTCATTTGTGACCACTGTTCATTAGCGCGAAAACAGCTTCGCGCCAGTTATCGGCTGAAATTGGCGACGTTCAGCCTTTTGTCTTTTATCTTTTGTTGAGCATTCTTGTTATAAGGCAACGAAGCGAGGAAGCGAAAAAAAGCTTTGCCAGTCTCTCTGTCTGTGTGTCGGCAGAAACGTTCTTCAAACAATGATGCGGAGATACAAACGATAACATTTTTGCACACAAGCAAACAAAGAACTGTGTCATAGGTATCGTGACAAGGCTAATTTTACCCGCGGCATTTATGTTTCGGTGAACACCAGAAACTATGCCAAAGATACTATCGCCAATTGAGCGGAACTTGTGATAAACTGGGCTGAGGGTTCGTTCAGCAGGCAAACCAAAGGGCGGAAATTCTGCGAACACTTTTTGTCGTTCAAGCAAACCACGTTTAGGTGGTTTAAGTAGTATACAAAGCTGATAACCAGAAAGATCACTCCGGATGCAGTTACAAAAATAACAGGTATCAGGCAGCCTTCCTGTTTTTACTAGTTCAATTGAGACTTCAAGTTCCATCAGCCGAGGACCTTCAAGTTATCAAAGTGGCCGCGGACGGCCTAAGCCATGGCTTGCTGTTCCGCAGTTCATTCACGCACTTCCTTATGCCGTGCTAACGTTTACACGTTAATGTGGACTTTTGGAGTAAGAAACGGCACGCTGATATTAGTAATGACACATATGACTAGTAAGTGTACGTACTGCCAATAAAGATCGGATCGCATGCTAGCATCTATAATAACTGGCCACCACATCAGGTGTAGCCAAAATTCGTAGATTGCTCTTTGATTGAAACGTCTACTGAGATGCAATTGTACTACTGATTGTCAAACAGTTTGGCCGTAGATTCCGACTATGTTCATCGTGTGCTCCAAGGCAGCGTGGTGTAGGGACGGTGAATTCCGCCAGATGTTAGTGAACGTAGAATTGTAGCGCATTCACCTCCCTCTCCCCCACTTTCCCACATGGGCTTGTCGTCTGCATCATGAGTTCACTTACGACAAGAAAAGATGCGCTGCCTTCTGATAACTGCAGAACTACACTAAGTAAAACAAGTAATACTTAAGATGTGCATAATTGTTGCGCTAAGTCTGGATAGTCTTACAAGTCCCTTTATATTTTGTAAAACAAACATTAATACTTTATTCGTTCTAATGTCCTTTGGCAGTGTATTAGGACCTTTAAAGTCCAAACTTTATCAAACCGTATATTTTGGCTTCCACATATTACTTCATTCTTGAATATAGTTTCATCGAACCCGTATTTATGGTTTCCAAAATAATCCTGCATACTTTTTGTATATGAAAACAAAAATATTTTTCGATGCGGCTAAACATACTTTAAATAGAACAATTGCTAAGTGGCGACAATTAATAAAGCGACAAATCATAGGAAATGGCGCTCACGTCTTCGTATTTTGTGTTTGAATAAAACATTTTATATTTCAACATCTTAAAGTGTCCGTTTAATCAATGTTTAATGATACAGCAGCAGCTGGTAAGCTGTCTTCACTGAAGGACTCAGTTCTTCATGTAAATGGCGGCTTTATTGCTGACAACGCGACCTAGATCGAACGCTGGCGTGAGCACTTCGAGCGCTTCCTTAAATTTTATATGGAGCCCACCGCTCCTTGCTCCCATCTACAACAGCGACTCTTCCATCTCTCACTTATCCAATGTCATACGAACCGCCTTCTGAAGCAAAAATCACTGATGCCATAAAAACGCTGCACAACAATAAGGCACCTGTAGAGGACGACATACCCGCTGAAACATATAAGTCTTGTGCCGACACTCTGGCGCCTTGGCACCACGGGGTGATTAGACAAGCATGAAGAAGTGAGGCAGTCCCTGATGACTGGGACTCAGGCATCCTTGTCCCTGTTCACAAGAAGGGAGACAAGACAAAATGTGAGAAATACCGCAGCATGAGCCTCATCGACATTGCTGCGAAGCTCTTCGCCATTCTTCTCCCCAGACGGTTGCAGCCTGTACGCGACTCCAGGACGCAACCCAACCTGGGCGGATTTCACGCTGGGCTTGGACGTGTGAATCAGATATTCACACTGAGACAGATCTTCGAATTCCGCTATAGCTACTAACAACCAAAGGTCATTTGCTTTGTTGATTTTGCTGCTGTTTTCGGCTCCGTCCATTGTGACTCCTTATGGCGGATAATGGCTTTCGATGGTGTACCACCAAACGTTATCGCTATGATCAAGGTATACTATCGCTCTACCACTGTGCGGGTTCTAGTCCACAACAACCTCTCGGAACCCTTTACTATTCGGCCTGGCGTTCGACAAGGCTGTGTCCTGTCGCCCATCCTTTTTCACTACGTCATTGACTGGGTTATCTGGAAGGTCCTACAGGACTTTACCGATGTTATCTCTTTACTAGCTTCACGCTTTGGCGATCTACAGTCTTCGGTGTCATGGGTGAAAGAGGTCGCGAAATCGGTCGGTTTGTCCCTAAACGTAGGGAAGACTAAAGTGTTTTTCTGCTGCATTGCTGCCAAAGGAAAGGCGCCTGTCGAGATTAGAAGTTGTCAACTTGAAGAAGCAGACAGTTTCAAATACCTCGGAGCGAGGTTGCTGCCGAATGGACAGAGTAAAGATGACATTGTTTCCCGAATTGACGCAGCGCGACTAGGTTTCTCCAGCCTTCGGAAAAGCCTATGGACCTGACGTGATATCCATCTTTACACAAAGATGCGCCTGTACCGTGCATCTGTGCGGTCCGTCCTCCTATACGCATGCGGATGTTGGGCTATGCGCCTGGAAGATGAACGGGAACTTGAAGTCTTCGACCACGTCTGCCTGAGGACCATCATCCAATTGCCGCCAATCGTCACGCATGTAGATGTACCGTCCGTGACATAATCAAGATTGCTAG